GGGGCGTCAAATGGCCCCCGGCCATGCCCTGTCTGCCCCTGGGCTGGGTTCAGATGAGGGCTGCCACAGGCACATCCACGCCACCCCAGCAAGGAGCCGGGGGCTGAGCTGGCAGCACCCCCCCTTTCTGCCCCAGCTATCACCACCTCCTGGGGCAGCTTCTCACCGGCTGTCCCCTCCTGGGCAGCCCCAGCCCCTTCCCACCAGCCTTACCTTCAAAGCTGAGGTCAGCGCCGAACTCCAGCAGGATTTCTGCAGCAGGGACGAGCCCCAGCTCGGTGACCTTCAGCAGGGCATAGCTCACACCTTCCTGATAAAACGGGGAGTGGGCCTCCCTCTCCAAGACTTGCCTCACAGCCGAGAGCTGGCTCCTGTCACTGCCCAGACAGGCAGGGCTCAAGATACACAAAACCGACCAGTTACTCAGCTGAACAGCACACGTGCAAGGGTCAAAGTAGCAGCAGAGAAGAAGAATAATCCCTGGTCTCCCATCATCTTGTCACTGCCAGGTTGGCAGCAGAAGCAGGGCCACAGCTGAACCCCAGTTTAGGTTCTGTTGCTACAGGTCAGGCAGCAAGGGCCGTTGCTGGGGAGCACACAGACCCCTGCGTGTGCTCTTCTCCACCCCACGTTCCCAAAGAACAGCAGCAAGGGGTGGATCTGTGGGACACGCTGGGGTGTGTCTCAGCCAGCACCGTGCCTGAGCTCGGCCACATCACCGAGCTCCAGCAATCACCCCCTGGAGCACCAAGCGAGTGCTCAGCATAGAGCTCTGCCCACAGCCCGTCTCAGTACCTCTCGAGGGCGCCCTGCTCCACGTCCTGTATCGCCAGCAGCCCCAGGATCTCGTCCACCAGCGGCTGGTACTCGAAGATGATCCTGCGGAAGCCGTGCAGGAAAGGCATCGTGCTCTGCTCTGCACACAGGCTGCCCAGGGGCCTCCAGCATGGCACTGGCGTCCTCCCCACGCAGGACTCTGCTGCTGCCTGGCTTCCAAAGGACTTCTCAATGCTTTTAAAACAAACAAGCCTTCCTAAGCAGCTTTACCTTTAGAAACAAAGCTACGGCCAGCCTGCCTTCCTCCCTCGCTTTACGTGTTTCTAAAGGGCAACAAAGCCCCGCGCAGGGATCTCCCCCCACACACCACGGAGGTGCGATCGAATTATCTCCCAGCCGCAGGCCGGGTTATCGGGGCAAGGGGAGCACCGGCCAGGCACAGCCCGGGCTCGGGCAAACCCCAAACAACCTCACGCACTGGGGTGCCGCGGGGAGCACGGCCACAGCACAGAGGGGCTCCGGGGTGCCCGCGACCGGCAGACCCCTGCCTGCTTTTTCGGGGGGAGAGCAAGGCTGGAGCAGCCCCAGCACGGTCGGGGGCCCCGCTGCG